TTTCCTCTAGGAATTTTCCTAAGCCTGGAAAAAAATAAAAAAGGAAATCCATAGGGGGGCTTTTCCAGCCTGACATGACGTCATTAGATTGGCCATAACTCTGGAACGCCTGGACCGATTTCAATGAATCAAGTTTCATTCGAAAGAGGATTAAATTTGCTACAAAAAGGCCTTATCCAGAATTTTCAGATTTATCCAGTTTCCTAGTTATAGGGCTTCAAAGTTGAAATTTCCCCAAAAATTTACCTTAGCTTTGTTTCAGGTGGTGTTACAGCCTTTAGGACAACTCCTAGTGTCTTTTTGTTTATTAATTGTTGTTAATTATTTAAAAAAAATAAACAATTTTTTTGAAATTCATTTGTTTTATTTTTGTTTAAATTTATTTCAGAGCGGAAAAAATTTGAGGGGGGCGGGGCCTAATTTGGCTCCGCCCCTTTTGTGGGTGGAGCCAATTTTGGCCACTCCTGAAAATTTCACAAAATTTTTAATTTTGTATCAGGAGAGCAGAAATGCAAAGAAATGAAATTTCGGTACTTTGTAGGCGGAGCTTAATTAGGCCACGCCCCTTGAAATTTTTCAAAAAAATTTTCAGAAATATTTTTATTTTGTATTAGGAGAACAGGAACGCAAAGAGGTGGAATTTTGGTACTTTGTGGGCGGAGCTTAATTAGGCCACGCCCCCTTAAATTTTGTCTAAATTTTTTTATTTTGTATTAGGAGAGCAGGAACGCAAGGAGATGAAATCCTGGTACTTTGTGGGCGGAGCCTAATAAGGCCACGCCCACCCAAATTTTTCAAAAATTTTGTATCAGGAACACAGAAACGTAAAGAGGTGAAAATCGAAAAAATTATCAAATTTTCAGAAAATTTACAAAATTTTGTTAAAATTGCAAATTTCTGTAAAAAATTACAGATTTCTGTAAAAATTGCAGATTTCTGTAAAAATGATAATTTTTTGAAAAATAGCTTCAGCTTCTGTCTAATAGATGGCGCTGGTAGTAAATATTATTTTCAATAAAAAAAGGGGTAATTTTGAGATTTTTCAAAGAACCAGAAGTAATTAAAACCACATAATTAATTTATTAATAACTAAATACATATACAGACATAAATTGATTATTATTAAGACAAAATAGCGAGCTGGTGGTTCCTTGTTGAATGGTCATTGGGGGCCTTTTGTTGATTTTCCAAATGGCTGGCCTACTTGTTAGTGAATCTGAAACAATTTTTCAATTAGTGGCGCCATCTATTGAAACGACATGCGAGTTAGACAAAGACACCTTTTTTCGAGACTCACCCTGTATCTTGTTCGGGTACCGGGTAACATACAAAAAATTATCTACGACTCACCCTATATAAAAAAATCCTTTGCAACTCGTCTCCTCATTGGCCCAATTCTCCTTGCAACTCTGGAAAACAATAAATATTTTTCAAAATTGCAAGCATCTATGATGACGTCATCATTTTTATGTTTGAATCCGAAAATAAAAAATCGCACTACTAACGCCATCTATTTGTAATTATTGACAATGAAATTTTTTCAAAACTGCAAGCATTTACGATGACGTCATCATTTTGTGCTTGGATCCTAGCTCTAGAGACGCCTAATAAAATAGCATTACTAGCGCCATCTATCAAACAAAAGCCGAAGCTTTTTTAAAAAGAAAACTGAAATTTTTAAATGTGGCGCTATCTATCAAACAATACGCAAACTATTTTTTACAGAAATTTTCAATTGTTTAGTTCGGCTATTGATTACTAGATGGCGCCACTATTAAATTTTTTTATTTTCATTGTAATTCTTTTGAGGTTAGAAAATCTTGACACTTTAATTTTTTTCTGGAAAACTGGCAAAAGGAAAATTTTGAAATTTTTCCAGGAAAAAGAAGAAAGTGAAAGGATCAATATAGGAAAACTTCAAAATTTTCCAATGGAAAATCACTCCAGGAAAAATTACCACAACTTCACTACACTTTACAAACCTTTTAAAAACTTATATACGAGATTTAACTGATGATGACGTCATTTTGATTGATAATTCCAAGAATTTGGCCACCTAGGATATAAGACACGTACCGATAAAGACGTCACAGAGATTTTTATAAACCCTATTAAGTGAAGTGAAGCTGTGGTCATTGAATTAAGACAGTCGTAACTTCACTTCACTTTGTAAGCCTTTTTAAAAATTTATGTCCGAGTTTTCGATGTAAGTACCAATGATGACGTCACGAAATTAGATGTGATTATTGCAGGCATCAAGTATACGAAACTAAACTGATGATGTCGTCATTACAATTATCTAATTGATCGATAATTCCAGGCGTTTGGCCACCTAGGATAGAAAACACGTATTGATAATGACGTCACTGAAATTTTTAGATAACAGCCTACTAGATGAAGTGGAGCTGTGGCCATACAAGTGGCCTTTTAAAAATTTATAGTTGAATTTTCAATGTAAGTATTTACGAAATAAGATGGAAAATTTGATTATCCCAGGCATTTGGTTGTCTAGGATACAAGACACATACTGATGATGACGTCACTAAGATTTTTGGAAATCAACCTACTAGATGAACCATTGAAATAACACAACCATAATTTATAATGTAATAATAATTATTATTAACCACAGTTTATTGTATCTAGGCAACTTACCTTTTGTAATCAATGAGCTGTTTTCTTTCGTTGAACCAGTGACGTCACATTGAACCTGCTTCAAAAAAGTTCGAACCAGTCTCATGGCTTGTTTTCCGTTGACATAAGGCTGTGGTTCAAACCCGAGATTATTTGAGGGTTGCCTGGATAACCGGATGACGTCATCAGGGGTGCCTCAACAAAATGCAAATCTCCAGGCCGGAGGTTATATTAGCCCGAAGAGCCGGAATTATATGTCATACGAGTTAACGTAATTAAAATGACTCCGGCCCTTTGGGCTCGCAATCTTCAAAATAAAAAGACACCATTTTGTATTGATTGATAAAAATAATTACAAGGCCTACTTTGATATTTTAATTTTTTGACGTTTGTTGTGTCATAAGCAGTGTTGCCACATGTTTTTTTCAAATCTCCAGCCCAAAGGGCTGGGATTATTCTAATTAGAGCTCGGAGGGTCAAGGTTATGTGAGCCCGAAGGGCCGGAGTGATTTAAGTTATACGAGTTATACTTTACTTGTATAATGATTGTTATAACTTACCAGTTTAAAAATCAATCGTCCGGCTTGGAATTTTGTGTATTTTTGACGCAAAATACTTCAACAAACATTTCAAGATGTTTTTTAGTATTGAAATCGCCCCAAAAGCCCCAAAATTATGCAAATTACCCGAGACGGGAGTCCCAAAAAACATTAAAAGACGCCATGACAGTACCAACTGCCAAAAAAAAAAAAAAAAAATCAAAGCAAAAATTTTCTAACAACGAACAAGATCGGAACAAGGTTCTTGGTCCATTTTTACAGCACATAGAATTGATTTTAGTTAAACATAGAACACTTTTAATCAATAGAATTCTATTACGCGCAAAATATAATGACATTACAAAAATAGAATTCTATATATCGGCTGACATTTACAGGTTTCTGCATTACTTAGTTAGTGCAAATAGAACCAGTCAAAGTACTACGGACAGTTGAACAAAATAAAAAGATTCAGTGCACTTGGAATCATCAGAAGTTTATTCGACTAATAAATATCCTTGTTACAAGGTACGATGACGTCATCTGTAGACCTAACACAAACCGTTCAAAATCCAAAATGTACCCGTAAAAAAGTTTTTATTCGTAAATATCCTTGTTACAAGGCAACTTTACATGGTGACGTCACTTGCAGACCCAACAAAAACCGTTTCAAATTAAAAATGCACCTGAAAAACACAGTGACAGGCCAATTTTGTCTCTTTTAATCACAATTTTGAAATCAATATCCTTGTTCTAAGGCCACCTTACATGATGACATCATCATTAGACCCAGCAAAAACCGTTTGAAACTTAAAAATACAACCCGCAAAACACAATAACAGGCCAATTTTGTCACTTTTAATCAATATGTTGAAATGAATATCTTTGCTATAAGGGTGTACATGATGACGTCACCTGCAAACCTAACAAAAAACCATTTCAAATTAAAAATGCACCCAGAAAACACAGTGACAGTCCAATTTTGTCACTTGTTACAATGTTACCCCCCACATGATGACGTCACTTGCAGACCTAACAAAAACCATTTCAAATTAAAAATGCTCAAATTTTCCATTTTTTTCGCGATCATAAGTGATGACGTCGTCTACAAATTGGTTTAAAACCGTAGTTCGAACCATTCGCTTTGCAAGCAAATGCCTCTGTAATAATGGAAGTACCAACTCTAAATATACTGAATGATTCAGAATTTAGTTTGTGAAGTTTTCATAGATGGCGCTACCATGAAAAAATGGATTTTTTTTTTTTTGCAATTTTCCTTGATTAAAATCGACATTTTCCTGTTAAAATTGATGGAAAACGTCATTATATATATCTATCTGCCTCTAACTCAGTGAACAAAGCAATTAAGATTTACCGGGCCTATTATACAAGACGTCTTTGTGAAGGACGGAAGGCAACTGGACAGTGATCGAGGACAAAATGGCGTTTTCCATTTTTAGTTCAGTGACGTCACCATCGGGCAGAAATAAGTAGGCCCCGCTCCCGTCGTTCATTAGCCAGTCAAGTTTAATATCAACTCTAATTTTTATCCTTCTCAGACAACGGACAATAAACAAGGACAAGAAGATGTTCAGCGTGCAAAATGAACTGTATTAGTTAGCAAATGAGTAATTCATAATTCATTGCCCTGTTAAATGAAATTCAATATGGCCGTACAAACACCTCAAAAATCAATGAAAAATTATTCATTTTGGACGTTTAAGTTTGACATTGGTAATGTGACATCTGACATATTGAATCACGTAGGTGGTTTTGATCAAGGTTATTTGAGAAAGATTACCTCAAGGTTGTTTGATAACTTTATGACGTCATTTGGGGTGCCTAAATATAACGCAAATGGATCAAGGATAATACAAAAATGGAACCAACACACATTTCTCTAATTAATAAAAAGATTTAATATTACCAAAAAAACAATGATTACAAATTAACAGCGGGTCCCACCCGTTTGTGCTTCAAAGGGGCAAAAATCGACACGCCTCTGATGTCGCCCCCCAAATGATTGGCCGTAATATCAGCCGAAAGTTCATCCGCCTCAATTTCCTTTTCCGCTTTAGCTTGCTTAGTAGCCGCATCAATATCCGTCCTAATCTGCGCATCGATTTCCTTAATTTCCTCGGCAGTCACCAGATTGGACGAAATAATTTTCTCTTTAAACGAAGTGATTGGGTCTCGGGTTTGGCGCACCTCTTGCACCTCCTCCCTGGTCCTGTAACTCGTACCGGGATCGGACATCGAGTGGCCCGAGTACCTGTAAGTCTGAGCCTCCATGACTACAGGCCCTTGACCGGTGGCGCAATGTTTTATCGCCAATTTGGCTGCCTCTCTTACCGCTAAAACATCCATTCCGTCCACCCAAATGCCAGGAACGTAATCCCCACGAGTATAGTACTCGGTACTTGCACTAGATCTTGAAGCACTAGTACCCATTCCTTGTTTTGTTTAATTAATAAATTTTGTTTATTAAAAGTTTGTTGTTGGTACTTACCGTAGCCGTTGTTTTCGCATACAAATATGCAAGGAACGTTCCATAGTTTGGCCATGTTGTAGGCCTCGAATACTTGGCCTTGGTTGGCGGCACCGTCGCCGTATAAAGCTACACAAACACCATCTGTGTTTTTGTATTGGGCTGCCAAAGCGATGCCCACCCCTAAAGGCACTTGTGCTCCCACAATTCCGTTGCCGCCGTAGAAATTATCAGTGTACATGTGCATTGAGCCGCCTTTGCCTCTGGCGCACCCCGTTCGTCTACCAGTGAGCTCGGACAAGACCCCCAAAGGTTTTACTCCCATCATAAATGTCCACCCGTGGGCTCTGTAAGCTGTGATTACTGAATCGTGGGGCCTTAGGGCTTGTTTAAAGCCTACAGCGACTGCTTCCTAAATGAAAATTATTAGATTGTTGATTTATTGTATAGATTGGGAGGGTGTAACAGGTTTTTACCTACTGATTTTATCCCGCATGCCTTTTTAATGGTTAATAATTAACTCACAAATAGTCATTGGCGCAACTATCATTTGGTTATCACAATTAGAAATAAACAATTTATTAGAAAAAATTAATTAAAATATTTATTTATTTTTTTCAGTAAAATCTCTTGACATTTTGAAAATATGAATTATTGATTTAATGAGTTTCTTTGGTTTTTTCAAAATTTTTGAAACTACATAGTGTTGGAAAAACAAAGAAAAAAATTAAATTTAATGAATTTCAATAAAAAAAAAATTCCAATATTTGTGTAAAAACTCGTTGAAAAAAAAAAAAAAACTGGAAAAAATTCTGTAAAAATTTGGAAAAAAAAATTCTGGATTTTTAGGAAAAAATTGGAAGAAACAAAAAAAATTCTAGAATTTTTTTTTTTAAGAAAAATTTCGAAAAAACAAAAAAATTCTAAACTTAGTTTCTTTTGACTTTTGAATTTTTTCAATGTTTTTGAATTTTTCAATTTTTTATTTTTTTTTTTTTTTTGAATTTTAGAAGTTTTGTAAATTTTTATGATTTTGGAAATTTTATTGATTTTCAAATTTTTGTAAATTTTTATGATTTTCGTGATTTTTGTAATTTTTTTAATTTTCTTAATTTCCATGATTTTTTCGAATTTTTGTAATTTTTTTAAACTTTTATGATTTTTATAAATTTTTATGATTTTTAACTTTCATAAATTTCTTGTGCATTTCGGGATTTTTGAAAGTTTTCATAATTTTTGTGAATTTTTATAATTTTTGGAAATTTTCATGATTTTTGAGATTTTTGTAAATTTTCATGATTTTTGTAAATTTTCATGATTTTGAAAATTTTCATAATTTTTGGATTTTGGTAATTTTCTTGATTTTTTTAATGATTTTTTCAAATTTTTGTAAATTTCTTGAATCTTTATTATTATTGTAAATTTTTATGATTTTTAATTTTTATAAATTTTTATGATTTTTTGTGGATTTCGTGATTTTTAGAAGTTTTCATGATTTTTGTAAGTTTTTATGATTTTTAGAAATTTTAATAATTTTTGGATTTTCATGATTTTTGTAATAAATTTCTATGATTTTTTTTGTGCATTTCGTGATTTTTGGAAATTTTTATGATTTTTGTGAATTTTTATGATTTTGAAAATTTTTATAAATTGGTATGATTTTCACGAATTTTATAATTTTTTTGATTTTCTTAATTTCTACGATTATTTTGAATTTTTGTAATTTTTATAAATTTCTATAAATTTTTGTGAATTCTTATGATTTTTTTAAATTTTTATGATTTTTGTTATTTTTGTAGATTTTCAGGATTGGAAACTACATATGTATTATGATTATAAAAATCAAAATTATAATTACAATTTGAAAAAATTATAGAAATTAAGAAAATCAGAAAAATTACAAAAATCACAAAAAATTTTGATTTCCATAAATTTCTATGAATTTTTGTGCAATTCTTGATTTTTATAATTTTTGATTTTCATATAAGTATTTCCATAATTTTTTGGGTATTTTGTGATTTTTGGAAATTTTCATAGTTTTTATGAATGTTTATGATTTTTGAAAATTTCTATGATTTTTGTGATTTTTGTAAATTTTTACGATTTTCGTGATTTTTGTAAGTTTGTAATTTGTAATTTTTTAAAATTTTTATAATTTTTGTGAATTTTCATAATTTTTGATTCTCATAAATTTCAATAATTTTTTGTGAATTTTTATTTTGGAAAATTTTTATGATTTTGGTGATACATATTTTTATTTTTTCTGATTTACTCAATTTCTATGACTTTTTCGAATATTTGTAATCTTTTGTAATTTTCTTGAATTTTCATGATTTTTGATTTTTATAAATTTCTATGATTTTTGATTATCATAAATTTCCATGATTTTATGCGCATTTTGTGCTTTTTGAAAATTTTCATTATTTTTAATTTTCATAAATTTCTATGATTTTTTTGTGCATTTTGTACTTTTTGGACAGTTTTTTTTTTTTTGGAAATTTTCATGATTTTTGTAAATTTACATGATTTTTGATTTCCATAAATTTCTATTAATTTTTGTGCAATTCTTGACTTTTATAATTTTTGATTTTCATATAAGTATTTCCATAATTTTTTGGGTATTTTGTGATTTTTGGAAATTTTCATAGTTTTCATGAATGTTTATGATTTTTGAAAATTTCTATGATTTTTGTGATTTTTGTAAATTTTTACGATTTTCGTGATTTTTGTAAGTTTGTAATTTGTAATTTTTTAAAATTTTTATAATTTTTGTGAATTTTCATAATTTTTGATTCTCATAAATTTCAATAATTTTTTGTGAATTTTTATTTTGGAAAATTTTTATGATTTTGGTGATATTTTTATTTTTTCTGATTTACTCAATTTCTATGACTTTTTCGAATATTTGTAATCTTTTGTAATTTTCTTGAATTTTCATGATTTTTGATATTTATAAATTTTTCTGATTTTTGATTATCATAAATTTCCATGATTTTATGCGTATTTTGTGCTTTTTGAAAATTTTCATTATTTTTAATTTTCATAAATTTCTATGATTTTTTTGTGCATTTTGTACTTTTTGGACAGTTTTTTTTTTTTTGGAAATTTTCATGATTTTTGTAAATTTACATGATTTTTGATTTCCATAAATTTCTATTAATTTTTGTGCAATTCTTGACTTTTATAATTTTTGATTTTCATATAAGTATTTCCATAATTTTTTGGGTATTTTGTGATTTTTGGAAATTTTCATAGTTTTCATGAATGTTTATGATTTTTGAAAATTTCTATGATTTTTGTGATTTTTGTAAATTTTTACGATTTTCGTGATTTTTGTAAGTTTGTAATTTGTAATTTTTTAAAATTTTTATAATTTTTGTGAATTTTCATAATTTTTGATTCTCATAAATTTCAATAATTTTTTGTGAATTTTTATTTTGGAAAATTTTTATGATTTTGGTGATATTTTTATTTTTTCTGATTTACTCAATTTCTATGACTTTTTCGAATATTTGTAATCTTTTGTAATTTTCTTGAATTTTCATGATTTTTGATATTTATAAATTTTTCTGATTTTTGATTATCATAAATTTCCATGATTTTATGCGTATTTTGTGCTTTTTGAAAATTTTCATTATTTTTAATTTTCATAAATTTCTATGATTTTTTTGTGCATTTTGTACTTTTTGGACAGTTTTTTTTTTTTTGGAAATTTTCATGATTTTTGTAAATTTACATGATTTTTGATTTCCATAAATTTCTATTAATTTTTGTGCAATTCTTGACTTTTATAATTTTTGATTTTCATATAAGTATTTCCATAATTTTTTGGGTATTTTGTGATTTTTGGAAATTTTCATAGTTTTCATGAATGTTTATGATTTTTGAAAATTTCTATGATTTTTGTGATTTTTGTAAATTTTTACGATTTTCGTGATTTTTGTAAGTTTGTAATTTGTAATTTTTTAAAATTTTTATAATTTTTGTGAATTTTCATAATTTTTGATTCTCATAAATTTCAATAATTTTTTGTGAATTTTTATTTTGGAAAATTTTTATGATTTTGGTGATATTTTTATTTTTTCTGATTTACTCAATTTCTATGACTTTTTCGAATATTTGTAATCTTTTGTAATTTTCTTGAATTTTCATGATTTTTGATATTTATAAATTTTTCTGATTTTTGATTATCATAAATTTCCATGATTTTATGCGTATTTTGTGCTTTTTGAAAATTTTCATTATTTTTAATTTTCATAAATTTCTATGATTTTTTTGTGCATTTTGTACTTTTTGGACAGTTTTTTTTTTTTTGGAAATTTTCATGATTTTTGTAAATTTACATGATTTTTGATTTCCATAAATTTCTATTAATTTTTGTGCAATTCTTGACTTTTATAATTTTTGATTTTCATATAAGTATTTCCATAATTTTTTGGGTATTTTGTGATTTTTGGAAATTTTCATAGTTTTCATGAATGTTTATGATTTTTGAAAATTTCTATGATTTTTGTGATTTTTGTAAATTTTTACGATTTTCGTGATTTTTGTAAGTTTGTAATTTGTAATTTTTTAAAATTTTTATAATTTTTGTGAATTTTCATAATTTTTGATTCTCATAAATTTCAATAATTTTTTGTGAATTTTTATTTTGGAAAATTTTTATGATTTTGGTGATATTTTTATTTTTTCTGATTTACTCAATTGCTATGATTTTTTCGAATACATATGTAGCGTTGCTTGATATTCAATCAAAATCTTGTAAATTGATTGATTAATTAAAACACACTTTTTATGAGGGTGGCTTTATATTTAGGTATATGTTTATCTTACAAGTGTTGGTATTAAAGAGAGGCTTAAACTGGCGTTACATTTCTATTTATGTTCAAACACCAAGAATGCCAATAATAAATAACCAAATGTCCCTAGATTAATAACTATAAAATTTCCTAACAAAAGTATTGC